AAGAGGTAGTGACCTGAAATGGTCTTCCAACAGTCTTGAAGGAGTTCCCAGAGATGCTTAGCACTTGTTGGCCCTTTCACCTTCTCTCTGTGGTCCACTCCCAAAACCATCTGGATTTGGTTCAGGTCCGGTGACTGTGAAGGCCGGGTCATCTGGCCCAGCACCATCACTCTCCTTGTTGGTCAAACAGCCCTTACACAGCCTGGTGTGAATCTACAGTCAATAGTCATGAAAAGAAAGGAAGCTTATGTCCAAACTTTTGGTCTGTACTGTATTTCGGATGCCCCAAAATGTAAATTAAATCCTGGGGGACCAATGATGAGGCTACATGCTCTTAGTCCCGCCTCCATGTGTGAATGACAGTGTGGAGAAAAGCCAAGCCCCGGCGATCCAAGATGGCGCCCTATTCAAATGAATGGTTGTCCTCAGTGGCGCTTTGTGACGGCATGGGGGCTGAACGATTAGCGGAAGTCGCCTGGAACTCGCAAAGATCTATGGGAAATTCGCAAAGATCTATGGGAAACTCGCCTGTATTTGGGCATCGTCTGGTCCTCCCGGTTCTGCGCAGTGGATGATCTCCCATGATGCGTTGCGCCAAACACGCGTGTGTGGGTCTCACACCGGGTTTCATGCACGTGCACACAGGGGCTCGGCCGCGCTCTGACCAATCAGAGCAGTTCATCAGAGCGGGAGTTAGAGCGAGAGCCAGACGAGCAGAGTTTGTGGCACTAAAGTGTGGATTTAAACAAAACCGAAGGATTTAAGAAGAAAAAAAGTTCAGGATGACAAGGGACACTAAAATCCCCACAAAATCCGACCTTTATTAAAGCTGTAGGTTCTCTGTCAGCTGAGGTTGAACTGTTTTAATATGCATTGAGTCCTATGAGGAAAATTTCTGGGTAGCCCACGTGAATTTAGTCTGGTCCAGTCTGTAGTACCGCGAGAATCCCCTGAGCATGTGCTCTGATGAGCAGCTCTAATTGGTCAGAGCGCGGCCGAGCCCCTCGGTGCACGTGCATGAGAGCCACACACGCTTATTTGGCGCAACGCATCATGGGAGACTGTCCACTGCGCAGAACCGGGAGGACCAGACGATGCCCAAATATAGCGAGTTCCTCTGATATGTCAGTGCCTGTGAAGTCCCATCCACTCCTGAGCACAAGCCATTCATTTGAACAGGGCGCCATCTTGGATCACTGGGGCTTGGATCTATGACTCTGTCGAAAACAATGGGCGGCACGGTGGCTGAGTGGACAGCACTCTTGCTTTTCAGCAAGAAGGTCCTGGGTTTGAATCCCGGTCGGAACAGGGCCTTTCTGAGTGGAGTTTGCATGTTCTCCCTGTGTCTGCGTAGGTTTACTCCGGGTGCTCCGGTTTCCCCTACCACTAAAAACATGCACAATACGTATGAATGTAAATGAGAGAGTAAATAGATGGTGTTGATTGGGGGCTGACGCGCCAGTGTGTTCGGCGACTTGCTTCCGTCATCACCGTGTGTGTATCTGAACTATGAAAATTGTAAAGCGCTTTTGGTGACCATGGTCTGTAAAATGCGCTATATATATGAACAATGTACCACATGGATTCATTAGTCATCTGGACAGAATTGGTTTTGAGTTTGTTTTGCTGGGAGGCACAGACAGACACGCTCTTGAAATTTAGCTTGTGGGTGGAAGTACGCTCCAGGGGTTTAGTTATTTATTTTTTACCAGTGACATACCATATTTAAAGCAGAACCCCGGTGTTCCTTCCTCTTAGATTTATAATAAAAATAACTCTCTCAACATTACGTTGAGAGACGGCAGCAATGTGGAGGCCCAACCTCAGGAAATTAAATGTCAGTTTTCCTGAAAGATATTGACCAAAACAGCGTAAATTTGATATAAAAATAGGATGTCGCGGATTTTATAGGATGTTTCCACAAAACGGCTTCTAGACATATACTTTAGTGCATTTTAGGACGGTCCACATAAGACAAGAAACACACACACACAAGAAACGACTTTTCATCCTGACAATGCAATTCTGCCTTGTATTATAATGTACACAATTATTTAGGGTGCAATAATAATTCAGAAAACAAACACCCCAGTTCCATTTAATGCAGCTGCTGTGAAAGTTATTTACTTAGAGTTCAGAATTCTTATGACCTGGGGAATCCAACATTTGTTCTCCTCGCTTCAGCAATGAGAAGTCAATGCTGCAGGTGTGAGCGGTCCTTATAATGTTGTTTGCTTCAGTCCAATGTCCCGGATGGAGGAGAAAAAAGACCTCCTAGTCACACTCTCTGTGGTGCTCCTGAAGGTGGCACATATTTCACTGTATGAGTTGTTTCTGCCTCACACAGTCATGGATCATCAGTGTGTACAGTCGTGGACTCAGGACACACCCTTGAGGCATCCCAGTGCTCAATCTGACATACATAAATCTGCAGGCATGTATAACCTATTTCTTCTTTTATGTAATTGTTTATGATTCCCTGCTTTGATCAACGCTCCTGTGGGTCGTACGTTCCATGAGCGCCTGTCGTAATATACATGTAGATGAGAAATCTGGGGCGTTTTATTCAAATTAAGCTGGTTTCCATACGTCTCATTTATCATCAGCACTTGCAGCGTGTGGCCGGATTGGATTGTTCCGCACAGGTTGATAAATACCGCACGCCCTCTGCTGTGTGAAGAAGCATAAGGCTAAATACGGCAGTTTCAGCGCAGTAATGATAATTCGGGCGTTCTGCTCTCCCAAAATTCCATCCGATGGGCGGGGGAGCGACTGAATTTTGCGTTGCATTATGGGTAAAACTTGCCTTCGCAACTTCCGGTTCTCTCTGCCCGGCGCATTTTCTCTAAATGGTTGAGCGTTTTCGTCATTTTCTGTATGCAAATACATTCCCGTCTCTAACTAGTGGCATATCGCGCAAATCATCCGTCCAATTCACATTCTTCCCTCTTAGCTGAACTTCATTCTCATTGTTACCATCTGTCACTCGCACACACAGCCGTTTTCGTTCACTCTGCTCGCTGTCATCTTCTTCTAAATCTTCATAAACACCATCCGCTCGTTGAACTAGCAACAACAATTCCTCCTTTCGTTTTCCCACACTGCAAATACCCTTTCGCTTCAACCTTTCACGCAATTCAGGCACTGTCAATCGCTTGTTGTTTTCGTGAGCCATATTCGCCATTGTATGAAATCAACCGGAAGTGAACTGGGCAACAAACGGTGTCATTTTTTGATCACAGCGCCGCTCAGTGGATGACATTTTGGGAGAGCAGAACGCCCGAATTGAGGTTCTGTGTGATGTTCACTAGTCTCTCAGGGGACTTCATCATTATTGGAGTCAGTGCCACCAGACAAGAATCATTTAGACAGGTTACTGAGGTGGCTGCTTTGAAACATGTTGGTACAAATGGCCTGTTTTTGGTGGATGTTAAAACAATAAATGTGTGTTATAATCAGCTGGACCGCACAGCCCCTGAGCAGGCGAGGTAGCTGTACGAGGCCCTAAACGCTCACACACCACATGTACTGTTGTTGGGGTTTGGACCTGAGCAAAGGTGACGTGTGTGCTCAGTGGGCAGACAGTGAAAACAGCCATTACTCACTCATGCCCCAACATAACACCACAGCCGTGTCACATCCAGTTTTCTTCAGGACATCCCCCTTTTTGATCTGCAAATACACCTCATAAGGAAGGACAGTGGGAGACGCCTCTGTCCAATACTGTCCAACTTTTATTCGCTTCTCTGAATATTGCGTAATGTGTGAGAGACAAAAGCTCCTCTCTCCTCTCTCTCTTCTCTCCCTTCTCTCTTCTTCCCTCCCCTCTCTCTTCTCTCCTCTCTCAACTCTCTCTTCTCTTCCCTCCTCCCCTCTCCTCTCTTATCCTCTCTCTCCTCTCCTCTCTCTCTTCTCCCCTCTCACTCCTCTCTCTCCCCTCTCTACTCACCCTTCTCCTCTCTCTTCTCCCCTCTCTCCTCCCTCTTCTCCTCTCTCTTCTCTTCCCTCCTCCCCTCTCTTATCCTCTCTCTCCTCTCCTCTCTCTACTCTCCCTTCTCCTCTATCTCTCCTCTCTTTTCCCCTCTCTCTTCTTTCCTCTGTCCCTCCTCTCCTCTCTTATCCTCTCTCTCCTCTCCTCTCTCCTCTCCAATGTCCTCTCTCTCTCCTCTCTCTTCTCCTCTCCTCTTCGCTCCTCCCCTCTCCCCTCTCTTTTTTTCTTCTTCAGGCTTACCCCAAGTCCTGACCCACAGCTTTCAGGAAGACGCGCGGATTCCTGTTACACTGTCTCTCCAATCACGTCACACGCACTGACACACGCCTCCGAGCGCGTATACGTCTAATTCACCTCAGGTCTAATTTACCCCTCCGCTTGGTTCCCAGCACTGCCCTGTCAGCCTGCGTGCCAGTCTCCCACCTCTGCTCACCGGTTCCTAATGCTCTTATGTTGCTCTTATATGGTGACATGCGGCAATCAGAGAGGCGGCGGCTGGCGTGACTTTAATAGTATAGTGTTGTTTTTGGCCCTGATCAAAGTATATGCTGTCACAACATTTTTTTTAAAGGATTTCTCCTCTCTCTCTCTCTGGAAAAAAATATTTGAATTCAACAGCTGTCTCTCTCTCTCATCTCCATCCTACGCCACTTTGCTCTTGACAAATTGATGTGGAGCGCTTTTACATAACAGCTCATGCACACACACACACACACACACACACAGGGAGACGTGCGTGTTCACTTCTGCAGGCTAATCTAATCCTTACTCAACCATCCAACTGCAGGTGTTAAATGACCGTTGTTCGCCATCCCACCTGCTTATGTGCATTTTCTTGACTTTGTATAACAGAAATCCCACTGCCATGTTAACGTTGCATGGAGGAGACCACGCAAGAGACGCAAGGAGAGGATGCGTAGTGAGGGACGGTGTTTGAGAATTGACATTCTGCCCAACTGCTGGCATTGCTCGTGGAATAATGATCAGCTCCTCAGTATTCTAGTCACATATGCTTCTCCAGAGCTCTCTCAATGAGCAGGAGGGAGCACAGGGGGAGGGGCTAGAGAGGGAGGAGACTGCACAGGGGGTAGCAGTGGTGGATGTGGATGGGAGGGGGGGTGTTGGTGAGATGGGTACACGGAGAAACAAGGTGAACTCCAGAGCAGAGTGAAAAAAGTGAGGTCTAATGGAGGACGAAGCAAAGTGAAGGTGATGCTGTATAGTGATATCACCAGGAGCTGCAGTGGATGTTAAACAGAAGATCAGATTAGTGTTATTTGCCATTTGCAGTAAAACCACATTGGAATACTTTTGCAAGAGTCCCCAGCGTGCACAAGACAAACTGCATCAATAAAACAAGATGTACAGGAATAAAACAAGATTAAGATAAGATAAGATAGACTTTATTGAGCTCACACAGGACAAATGTACATGTCACATCTGGCATGGAATTAAAAAATAAAATAAAAAATAAATTACAGTGCAGAAAACAATTGACACTGTGAAATTGATCAGCGAGAACAGTTTCAATACAAAGGCAAGAACATTTCATTTTCATGCATCTCATCAAACGATATCTTCTGCCAGAAGATATCGTTTGCAGAGCGGAGCACCTTGTTTAGAGCTCCCCTTATACAACACACACTTAATGCTAAAGTCAGGGGTTTTTAAGATAAGATAAGATTAGAATTCCTTTATTCGTCCCACAGTGGGGAAATTTCGATGTTGCATCGCACATATAGGTGTTGCCCTTTGTATTTAAAAATGTAATTTTTGTAACACAGAATGAACAGATGGCTCTAGTTTTGATACATTAAATGAATCCTGCTTGAATGTTCCCGCAGCGATAACATACTGTATGTGCTGGTTGGTTTCAGTGACAACACATTGAAAATTAAGTATGAAAGAAGATTTAAAGCAGGAGGAAATAAATGTAACAAACAAATTGGTTGAAATGTTCTCCCATTGCCAGACTCCAAAAACATAAGATGGAGGAATAGCATCAGGTCATAGCGCAAAAACTGCAACTTGCAATTAAAGCTCAGATTAGATAGAAGCTAGCAGTGATGACTTTTCTGATTCGTGGACAAGAAAAAACCTATTTTATAAAAGTATTCTGACATTTTCTAAACTTAACTTTTTACACCAATAAAAAAGTATATAGACCCAATTTAACTATGGAAGATTTCAGATTTCAGATTCATTTATTCGCCATTTGCAGTAAACCCACATTGGAATACATTAGCAAAAGTTCCAGTGTGCACAAGACAAATACAGACATAAAACAACATTAAAAGACAGAAATAAAACAAATTTAAAACAAGTAAACATTGTCACTATGAAATCGACCGGCTAAAACAGTTTCTATACAAGTGCAAGATCATTAAAGTGCTCTGTTCAAACTGATAACAGCTTGTGGATAAAAACTGTTAGCATAACGAGAGTCCTGCATCTCAGTGAACAATATCTTCTGCCACAGGGAAGAAGCTGGAACATGGCTTTCCCAGGGTGGCCAGAAGAGTCATTAACAATCCTAAGAGCTTTGTTTAAAAGTCTGGATTTATAAAGAACCTCCAGAACAGGAAGCTCACAGCCCACGGTCCTCTTTGCAGAGCGGAGCACCTTGTTTAAAGCTCTCTTTTCTTTATCTGTGATGTTTCCAAACCACACAGACACAGAACCAGCAAGTAAACTCTCAATGGTGCAGCCATAAAAGTTAAGCAGAATCTTAGAGTTAGTGGTAAATTCTCTAAGTTTACGCAGAAAGTAGAGACGCTGACGAGCTTTCTTAACGACCCGGTCAGTGTTTTTGACCCATTTCAGGTCGTTAGACAGAGTTAAAATACAACTCCAAATAAAGTTGTTATGTAATGCTCTGTCTGTGTTAAACAACATGTATTTTACCTCCTGTTGTGGTATACAAAGTTAAACATTTTTTAAACTGTAATTGCAATTCATTTTTTGAGTGGAGTCAAGATAAGTTAATGGGTTGGTGCTAACTTATTGCCAAAGCATTTCTGGTTTGACAGCATTCAAAAAGTGTCCAAATGCAAACATGGAACACATACAAATGCCACAACTGTATAAACTAGAATAACGGCCATCTCTTTTTCTGTCCTGTTGGAAACACATGCGGATTCCCAGTGCACACTCCAAGACCACTTTGTCAAAGTCACAGCAGGTACAGCCACCTCAGCAAAGAGGGAGACAGAGGCTACGTCGCTGGGGGAGGAGGGATGGAACGACAAAGCAGAGCCGTGATGGAAAAGTGAAGGAAAGGAGAAAGGGAAAATTAGAGAAGGACAGGGGGAGGAGAGAGGAAGCATGTGCCGGCGATAAATATGTAATCACAAAGCATAGAAAATGATCAATGTATACCATCACTTAAATAGGTCAATCATGCATTAATAACCGTGGTTTGATAGTAGAATACTAGAGTACGTTTACAAAGCTTTCAGTCTAACATTGTGCAGGTATGTTCTGCTGTATGCAGTCGAAATCACTATTTTGAGGTCATAATTAGCAAAATAAAAAACTGCAATCATTTAAACAAAAAAAGGAAACATAAGCAAAATATTGAATTTGGGAAAAGGCCTCTAGATTTAAGTATGAGTAAAATGTGTCAAAAAAACAAAACAAGAATCTTTGGTCTTAACGTCGCCGGAATGACTTAATCATTCAATCATCATAATTTATATAAAATGGCAACATGTGCACAACTCATTATGACTTTATTTCCAGTGCTTTTATATATTTTACATTTTTGCAGTGAATCTTTTATTTCTACTAAAATAACAAAATGTTTTCTGAAATGTGTGGGAATTGTGTATGAGGGAATAGTTGTATGTCACATATTAAATGTACTGTCACCCTCCGTGTGGTGTCAATACTCAAAGAATTAACTTTTACTGTTGTTTTTAGTTTTACTAATGTGCATCTTTACACCAAGTCGTAAACTAGCTTTGTTACTAAAACTGGCTCTTTTTTCAAACTTTCAAAAATGAGCTTTTTCAAATGGAACTCTCTTGAAGATGCTAATTTTAATCTGAAACAAAATGTGTATTTAAAAAAAAACATATATTATTTATTTTTATTTTTTATTGCGCACATGTTAATATCATGTCATCAGGTCATTAATATTGCAGTTAGAAATGTTATCAAAATTGTGCAGCGCTGCAGGTGACATTTTTTTAATTCTTCCCTTCTACAAATCCCTTTTAAGTAACCATTTCCATGCAATTGGGTCAAAGTGTTGATTTGGTTAAATGAGTGAATATAATACAAAAGTAGTAAAGCCACATAAGAAACACTAAAAAGTAGCTCTTTCTACTTCTCAGTAATGACACTATAATGGCGGATGCTGCTTTGATTGTGAAAAGTGCCTCTGACGGTGCGTTCAGAATGCAGACTTAATTAATTGCTACAGGAACTTCCTGTTACAGATTTAATTAGTCGATGATAAGCAGAAAATCTCCTGGGCGGCGTGTGCTACGGAGAAAGGATTATCGTATAGAAGTGTGGCTGGGGTAAGAGGGGGGGCATGTTTTTGACACAGACTGCACCCCCAGCAGAGGTCAACAGGCCCCGCTACAGTTTGCATACATCCATATCACGCAAAAGAATCAGCCTGAATAAAACATTTCTGTCCCCCTGTCTGAGATACGGCTGCTCTGCCCCACAGCGACAAGCAGCATTTTAAAAGGCCTCACATAAAATATACCAACCTTTTCTCTGTATGTGTCTTCTGTAAAACGTTGTACCATGTTAACCTTTCATCCCTGGAGTTTACTTCCCAAGATACGACGGCCATTGCGAAGTTCACACACTACTGGTTGATTAGATTAGCCCAATATTTTTACAATGTTTTGGTTAGCAGCCATTGTCCAAGGCACACCTAAAAATTGAATATTAGATCAGTTTAGGGAATGGGGCAATTACAATAACAAGGAATAATGCATCTGTTTTACGCCTTTTTGAACTCTCAAAGACGCTTCATATGTCATTATTTAATCACTCGATACATTGTGGTTATAAACTAGTACTGTAGCCACAGCTGCCCTGGGGCACACAGACAGAAGCGAGACAACCAGTCTGTGCCATCGGCCCCTCCGACCACCATCAGCCACTCACACACACACCAGACACATTCTAGGAAATGTGGGTGAAGTGTCTTGCCTAAGGACACAGCAACAGTTTGTCACTTTACAGATATTCCACTGTGACACCTGTTGTCCCCAGAGGTCTCCCATCACAGTGCTAACCAGGCCCTGCCTTGTTTAGCTCCAGAGGTCAGACAGGAACTGGTTTTCACATTGCAGGTGATGCCAAATGAGTAGATATATAAGACACCAGTATTGAGCAAGTGGTGAAAAGGTGGTACTGCACCCTAAAACTCCCCAGAAAGGGGACGGCGCTCTTGAGCAAGTGGTGAAAGGTGTTACTGCACGGTATTTTTCAAAGAGTTTTAATGAGTTAGATTCTGTTGACCCTGTGTGTGTGTGATAAAGTAAATGCTTCACAGTTGTCTAAAGTGATTTATGATCACGGTTTATTCTAAAACAGTTAGGAATAGCTAAGCTGCAGGGGAGGACCTGTTAACGACACTTAGGTGTGTGTGTGTGTGATAGTGTTATCATGATGACGGTTGGGAGGTCGTACTAACAACAAATCAGAATGGGTGGTGTTGCATAATTAAAATGTTGTATACTAATGATTTTGAAAATAGGCCCTCTGAAGAATGTGCACGGGGAAAAACCCCAAGGACAAGGATTGCAAACAGGAATAAAGAGGGTCAAATGGAGAAACTACAATCAGTCATAGAGATACCAACTTTCAAAACGGGACAAATTATTAACTCCAGGAATAAACATTCTTGTCTCTCTGGCGAGGCCAAAAGTCCAAAAACACCATCTGGCTAATCTCTCTCAGGCAGACTGGGAGATTCTCCAAAGGCATTCTGACGCCTCCCAGTGGACACGGGACGCCAGCACACCCGAAAAGAACATTCGGGAGACGCCCACAAGTGACGTCATCAGACGTCTTGATAAAACTGTTGGTTTGAGTTCTGGGGGGAAGGTTAGCGCAGGGGAAGAGGAGAGGGACATATTAGTTTTAGGAGCACTTTTTGTTGAATATTCTGTATCTGATTGTAAAGATAATTAAATGCAGATGTTAAACTTGGAGATCTTTGTCTTACTCTTGCATCAACTTTGTACACGTCCAGTCAAGGGAATTATTGACTACATTTGGTGACCCGAGACGTGATGGTGCAGAAGAAAGACAGAGATGAGCTCAAATATAGACTGGGTCCGTGGGCCGGGAGAATTCTCTCTTCTCTTCTCTCTTCTCTTCGAAAGAGGTAAGCGGATCGTTACTTTTGAAAATCTGCACATTGTTTTAAATGGAAGAGAGAGAGAGAGAATTCGGCTCGACGGACTGCAGCGTGGCCAGACGACCGCCGTGATGGGTGTTCCATCGGACGCGATAGAACAATAGTCAGGTTTAGACGTTTTAACCTTGGGGGAAGCATGGGTCCCTCCAAAAAAAACAGAACAGATGATGAAAAGAGCCACAGGGGTATAAGTGCAAAAGAGGCACAACTGTTTAGATAAATAGGATTAGAGAAATAGGGATAGTTAGGGTCAGAAGTTATAGGATAATAAAAACTCCATATCCCCCGGGGGCGGGGAAAAGGGCACAATTAATTTAAACAGAAGAAAAGCCAAGTATTTAAAATGTGGATTCTGATAATAATGATCTGATTAATGAGGAAAAAGAGAGCCTCTTGGCTGTAGTATACGAGTTTCATGTGAAGAAATGATCAGTTATGGAAGTTTTTCTCTTATTCTGATGTAATGTTTAATAGTCACAGAGAATCAAAAAAAAAAAAAGAGATTCTGCTGGGACTATTACTCATGTAAGCAAATAGTAATGTTTTCCATTACTGACGTATTTAAGGATAAAATGTAAAGTGTCGTTTGACGTGAGAAAAACTTTTACCACTGATTTAGAACCTTGTCACGAGAAAAACGAGAAAAGTATTTGACTCCATGCTTCCTTTGTTCGGGAGGCCCCTCCCCTCCCTCGTTCTGTTCTCTCTCTCTCCTCTCTCTCTCTCTCTCTCTCTCTCTCTCGTGAAGAAAGAATTTTTTGTAGAAAATTACATTTATACACACGATAATGTTACTGACATGGAGTCATAGGATCACAGAACTTTGAGTTAGATTATAAAGAGGCATTATTTTATTTTTTATCTCCAAGGCGTCTAGACAAGTTTTTTTCCCTACATTTTGGTGATATAAAAGTTAGAATGATCTTAGAGAGCATTATACTTTTGGAAAAATAGGGCTTAGGATAGTAGTTGAATGCAGATTTGGTTTTCAGAATTTAATGTTTAAAATGTTAATAGTAATTATTTCATAGGTTTACTTAGATTCGTAATTAATCATTGGTTTTGTATTGTATTAACACACTTGTTTGTGTTTCTTGTTTGTCTGTTTTTTCTGAGAAAACTTCTGTCTGTTTCATTGGCCGATCGCCAAAATCGTCCCTGCCACAAACCACAACCGAGCATCATCATCATCATCAGCGTCTCCCCCTCTCCCTGCGGGTCGCAGGGGGCAGCATCGGCTGCAGCAGCTAACAGGAACTCTCGAAGAAGACTCCTCCTGCCTGTGAGGAGGCAAAGAAAAGACCGCAGACTTGGGCCCAGTCCCAATACCCACACTGCACCCTACGCCCTCCTATGAAGTGTGCATTTGTTTGAAGTGCGCGCAAGGGTTTGAGTGCGCAGGTTGCAAGCGTGCACAAAAGGTGGAATTGGGACAGTGCACACTGAGTGCAGGTTACGTCATCGACTCGTCAAGAGATGGTCATTTTCAGACCTAAACTTTATAAAAATTAAAGGTAATTTTGTCTGACCCTTTGGGAAACAATATGAATTGCTCCACACACGTTAAAATACATGTATATTAGTTGTTTTTAATTAGAGATAGCGGTATAATTTTAAGTTAAATGTGGGTAACTAACTATCTGGTCAGTTTTTATACATTCTAAGATTATTGCACTAAGTGTAAAGTTTAAATTAAATGTTATATAAACGCTTGCTTTAAAAAGTTATTAAATTGTTAAAACACAATGTCCGTAATTCTTCATCAGACGTTTATGCTTCTTTCCAAGTAACATAGCAAAACTTATTTACACACATACTGCATATATATTTCAAAATGTATATTTAAATGCATTTTCCCGTCGTTTTGGTG